TCTTTTTTTAATGTGCACAACTGTAAGCTCTTTCAGATTGTTTACACACCCACAGAATTAGTATACAAGTAAACATCTGTGAATATCCTCAAAGCAGGAAGGTGTTGTGATGTAAAAAAGGGCTTTTGCTAGCACTAAGATTAACAGTGGGCGCTGCCACTTGTCGTGGACAAGATATTTTTCCCTAGCTATAATAAAAGAGCAGTCTTTCATTTCAAAAAGGATAACGACATTCCAAGTTGGCTCGAAGCTTACGGTAGAGTAATAATCTACCAAATGTTTACAATTCTGATGTAAATCTCCTTTCTAACGTGAAAATTTATGCGTTCGCCTATAAATACCTGCAGAGAGATGTTTATAATCAAGAACCCAGCAGTTTTCCATATCACATATTCTCCTAAATCACAACTTCTAATTAAAGCTTTGCTAAATTTAACAGCCTATACTGTTTTGAAAAACATTTTTTTGGAAAATCTGGAACATTTTTACGTCAGTATAAAACAGTAAGGGAATACAAGTTTTTTTTCAGGATCACTCCATTTGAGAAATTGGTTCACAATAATGAAACTGGCACTTGGGATGAGGTAGACAATCAATTCAGTTTTCGAAATGCCTGCTGGTTTACCGTCTGCTCTTTGATGCAACAAGTAAGCAAGATGTATTTTTAAAGTATTTCAATACAAAGGTGTGAGAAGCAAAATCCATCATTTTAGTCTTAACTTTATTTTATCTGCATATATAGAATTGTATTTAGCGAACTAGGCGTGAGGGACTTGCCTTGAACGCCTCATTTTCCTAAAAAATTTTGTAGGCAAACTCTTGCCTCATTTCTTCCCTTGTCTTATTTCTTTTTGCTGACGTTCCGTCAGTGCCTTCTTTACATGAAAAATCGAATGCATTAGCAAATTAACTCATTAAATAACGCTAAGATCAAAAAAGTTAAACTTGGAATCCTCATATATCTTTCATTACTTCTTTGTTCATACTGGATGTTCAGAACTCTGTAAACATGATATTTAGGGGAGCGAGTTGTCTCCTAGAGCTCCAAGTATGAGAGTTGCAACTGCTGTATGGTGGTTTTTCACAATGATCCTTCTTTCGTCGTATACTGCCAATCTGGCTGCCTTCCTCACAACTCAACGAATGGTATACAATTTACCATATCTGTCTTAGCATTTGAGCATTTGATTCCCTGACGACCTAGGTCTCTCCTATTGAAAACGCAGATGACTTATCTTCGCAGACGAAAATCAAATACGGCACATTGGGACGAGGATCAACGATGTCGTTCTTCAATGTTGGCAAAATCATTGCCATCAGTTCTTACACCGATGCATAGCTTCTCTCCATTGCAGGAATCCAAGATAGAGACTTATGAGAGGATGTGGAAACTAATGTCTAGCAATCCTGCTTATTTTGTAAATTCTTCAAATGAGGGTATTGCACGAGTGAAGGTAAGTTTGACAAGAAATTTCATGCAAACTGATCTATAAAATATTTGCACAGAGCTCTGATTACGCTTATCTGATGGAATCGTCAATGTTGGAATATGCTGTAGAACGTGATTGTGAGCTTATGCAGATTGGAGGTCTGCTGGACCAAAAAGGTTATGGAATCGGATTGCCAAAAGGTGAATCTGCTTTTGAATAAAAATGATTCAAATTTACTTTATCACCCGTCTTTAATGTGTTGTCACATCAACAAAGTCCACACT